CATAAGACTCTCAAAGTAGTGATATCAGTGATGAAAGAATTTCACTATTATGAGAAGCTTCTGATTATAAATGTTATAGTTGATCTTCATAAGTTATATCTTTCATAAGAAAAAGATCACTGAAACCCAGTTCTTATTTGACTGTAGTTATGAGACTATTTCTGAAATTGTAAAGAAGAAGACATCTGTCTTTAATCTGATTAAGAGTAAGAGATTAAAGTGAAACAGTATCACTGTATTTATAAATATCTGTTTCAATCTTACAAAGACTCTGTAAGCTTCTGAGATAAGAAAGTTCTTATAGTTCTCTCTTCTCAATAATCTTTTCATTCTTTATTCATGAAATAACTTCTTCTTGTTTTCATTCTTCAGTATGTCTGTAAGAGTCAAGAAGATTCTTATAAATACAAAGATAAACTGTTTATAGAAATTTATAAAGCTCAGAAAGATCTGAATCTCATGAATACTAGTTAACTTCAGCTATAATAGAATAGTCTCAACTCATGAAGATTTTATCTGAATATTATCTGCAGTGATTATATATTCTAGGAAATTAATCTAATAAACACTGAAGTTGTACTTTGTAAGCTTAATATACAGTTCTGCCTCATCTAAGATCTTCAATATACTTTGCACATGCTCAGTGTGTTCTTTCTTCTTCACAGAGTATATCATCACATTATTCAGATATATTATCATGAAGATATTCAGATATGTATGAAGTGTTTTATTAATGAAAGACTAAAATATCACAGAGATATTAGTCAGATTAAAAGATATTACTAGATATTCAAACAATCTCAGTGCAGTTTTAAAGACAGTCTTTTATTCATCTTCAGACTGTATTCACAGCTGTGTATATACATTGATTACATTCAGTTATATGAATATGACAGCTTCTGTAAGATAATTAATCACATTCTCAATCAGAGATAGAGAGTAGTAACTCTTTATTATCTTGAAGTTCAGATTATAATAGTCTACACATAATCTGAGATCTTTATTCTTCTTCTTTATAAATATCACAGAGGCTTCTGCAGAGATCTATAAAGATCAGATGAAGTTATTCTTCAGATTCTTCTTCACATAGATTTGTAAGATCTCTGTCTTATAATAAGAGAGCTTATAGATTGATTCTCAGAAGAGTTTCTACTCTTCTATTAAATCTATTATCAGATTCTTCTTATAGTGAGAGAGAAGCTTAGCTGTCTTTACTGAACTGAATATCTTTGTAAGATCTCAGTATTTCTCTGATATCTGAAGCTCAGTTTTCATGACTGCAAGATTCTCAGACACTTATAAAGTTATTATATAGATGAGTTTATCTTCTCTAATCAACTCTGCAGCATTAACTGATTCTATTTTTATAAGTAAGTCTATCAATACTGATCAGAAGTATAAACCTAACTCATGAACAGCTATGTGCAAATTATGTCTTTGAAGTCATGTAAGTCTCAAGTACATATTATCTGTGATGTCTGTAATAATCACAGTTTCTACAAATCTTCTTCAGATTTTAGAGAGATCTTGTAATTTAAAGATAACTTTTGTAAGTCTCTCAGCTCTCAGATCTGAGTTCTCATACTCTGCTTATTATAAGAGCAGGTTCTTAGTCTTCATCTTTCAGCTCATTTACTCTGTGAGCTTTAGAGATATCACAGTGACCTAGGATTCTGAGTTCATTAATACTTTTCATACTTGCAGAACAGTAGCACTGCAGTGTAATCTCTCTCTGTAAGTAAGTATTTTCATCAGAGAAGTAACAGATTCAGGTATCAGCTTCAAGACTCTTAAGAAGGCTATTACTGACTCTGTTCATAACTTCTCAAATTTCTATTTTAATTTGTCTGAACAGTTTGTGCAGAGATATTCTGATTTAGAACAGATAAAGTAGAGTTTCTTTTTCTTAATCTCTCTATTATATACTCTGTTTATAGAAGCTTATAAGACTCTCTCTCTCTACTCAGCAGTCAGATGCAAATCTCTCTATATCTTATTATCTTTTTCTGATAAATCTATTTCTCTATTATTCTGACTCTTACAGAGTCAGTCAGTGATTCACTCTTTATAAGTCTGTAACTCTCACAGTGATCTGTAAGTAATGAATAAAAGTCATCAGTTTCTTCAGAGTTAAGAACTTAGAGTCTTACTTAATAAGCTTGTTCTGCATATCTTTATTCAGTCTCTTTATAAATATTATTATTCAGGTCTTATTTCAGAGTTCTGTTTTCATAGATTTTAATTCACATCATAATTTTATAAAGTGCTGTGAGTAGTCTTCATCAGATTTCTCACCTCTTTTTCTAATATTAATGATTACAGCTCAGATGTTCTTTATTCAGCTTACAGAGTCTTTTAACTTATTCTCTAGATAGATCTTGAGAACAGATCAGTGAAATCTCTTATAATCATTCTCTAGATAATTCAGTCAGTTCTTAGCTTTAGTGTAATAGAGATCTGTTATTGTGTAGATAATAGCTTCTTTATCTTTTATATTATACAGCTGAGCTTGTAAGTCAATTTCAAATACAAACTTATAAAAGCTTTTATAGATTGTAGTTCAATAAGTAGTCTTAAGTAATCACAGCTTAAGAAAGTTTCTTTTCAGTTCATAGATATCTCTGAAGATCATGTCTAGAGACTTGATTTAAGAGTGTTTACAGACAGTAAGCATTTCTTGTAGAAAAATAGCTTGATTCTGTGAGAGATGCTTAAGAATGTTCTTCACTGAAATTGATTTATTTATGAGTTCAGAGAGTTTCTCTGTCACAGATGTAGAGAATGATGTTCTGTAAGTAATTGATAAGTTCTCTAAGACTTCTTTTATAAGAGTTATTTATGATTTGAGTGACTGCTTCTGAGTGTCTGCAGTAAAGTTCACAGAGATTGAAGTATACAAGTTTTTAGTTCTTTCAGTTATAACAGGCAGTTGTTAACTGACTGAGCTTGAAATATAAGAATAAGTGCTCACAGATGATTATTCAGGTGTTTACAGCTTGATATGATATATACTGTTAACTACTAGAAGTATTCACAGTAGAAAGATAAAATGTAGAAGTCAAATGTATAATAGCATTCAAGCTGAGTTATAAATAGTATTTGTGAACTCCAGTCTATATAGTTGTGTGTAGCCAAGAGCCGCTAGCTCTATTAATTATGTGAGAGATAGAAATAGAGGTAAAGAATCCGTGAGAAGCGGGATTTCTTACAGAAGCTGTTATATTCATACAACTGAATATAATTAATATATATACATAGCTATAAATATAGTCTGAGAATGAATAAAAGACTGTTTTTAAAATTACACTGAAATTATTTGAATATCTAATAATATCTTTTTATTTGACTAATATCTCTATAGTATTACAGTCTTTCATTAATAAAACACTTTATATATATTGAAATGTCTTTATAATAATATATCTGAATAATGTGATAATATACTCTGTGAAGAAGAAAGAATACACTGAGTATATATAAACTATGTTAAAGATCTTGAATAAGATAGAACTGTATATTAAGCTTATAAAGTGTAACTTCAGTATCTGTCAGATTAATTTTCTAGAATATATAATTACTGTGAATAATATTCAGATAAAATCTTCACAGATTAAAACTATTCTATTATAATTAGAGTTAACTAGTATTTATAAGATTCAGATCTTTCTGAGCTTTATGAATTTCTATGAATAATTTATCTTTTTATTTATAAGAATCTTCTTAGCTCTTACTAGACTGGCCACTGAGATCATGAATTTCATGTTTAGTCTCATTTAGTCTGATTTCATACATTTCTTGATGTGAATTCTGCTGAGACTAGTCATTAAAAAAACATGTAAAGTAACTATTTATCAGATCTTAAAATGAAATCATAACTTAAAAAAAATGAGAGAGTGATCTTATTTAATCTCATTTAATTTCATTCTTAGTATAAAGTTACTATTTTTAGACATTTTAAGGTTTTTTTTAGACTATTTTTAATTTTTTAAAAAGTAACACTTTTTGATAACACTTAAATGAGATTTAAAGTCATTTAAAGCAATAAAAATAATTTAAATTGAGAAGTGAAAATCATGATCTCATTTGAAAAATGTGATAAGAGTAGACAGTAAGTCTCACTGAGACAGTATGAGACTACTATCTAATGTTAAAACTGTGTAATGAAATCAGTTGAATTGATAATAAGACTATTAAAAAATCTGGTCCTGGTCTCAGACACAGTCACACGGTCAGTCTAGCTCTTACAGACATGCTGAAGAATGAAAATAAGAAGAAATCATTTTATAAATGAAGAATAAAAAGATTGTTAAGAAAAAAGAGCTGTAAGAACTTTCTTACTTCAGAAGCTCACAGAGTCTTTATAAAATTAAAATAGATATTTATAAATACAGTGATACTGTTTCACTTTAATCTCTTATTCTTAATCAGATTAAAGATAGATATCTTCTTCTTTATAATTTCAGAAATAGTCTTGTAACTACAGTTAAATGAGAACTGAGTTTCAGTGATATTTTTCTTATAAAAGATGTAATCTGCAGAGATTAACTATGATATTTATAATCAGAAGCTTCTTATAATAGTGAAATTCTTCTATCACTGATATTACTACTTTGAGAGTCTTATAACAGTAATTACTGTTAGAACTGATCATGATAACTTATAACAGTTTACTTCAATCAAGAAACTCTCACAGCAGCAGATTCACTGAGCTCAGAGACTGAGTGAGTTCTGATTCAAGATAGAGCATATCAAGAGAACTAAGAATTCAGTAAATAGACTCTCTCACAGGCCTGACTATATTAAGAAGGTCAGAATAACAGATATAGAGAGACTAGAGAAGATAGAAAAGCTTTATAAGATGCTTAGACTGAGTGTTACAAAGAGATTAACTGAAGAGTCTCTCAATTTCTCATAAGAGAAGAGAAGAGAGAGAGAAAAGAAGTCTGTACAACTACTCTCTATAACACTGAGAGTTAACACTCTGAGAATCTCTGTAAGAACGATCTGTCCGGTGAGCCCGAACAGATCACCACCAGAGCAAAGTCGAGGAGAACCATTATCACTCTCCGAGGCGATGCTCAACCCTGTTATAGACAGCTGCACTATACGAAACCCCCTGCCGGGTCATGACCAGCCTTCATCCTCTGATTACCATTCGGCTGTGTATGATTATAATGAGGGTTTTCCTGGCAATGGATATTTGAATATGGGATTTGAGGGTGGGAGCAATCTACTCTGTGATTTTGATGGTGGAGATTTCATTTCTGCGCCCGAAAACGGCCTCCAAGGGCCCCCAGGCGAGACCACCGCTCGAGGAGACGGGGGTGAATTTTCCGGCCAACATCCTGCATCCTTTGGTTACTATTCGGTTGTGTGTGATTATAATGTGGGGTTTCTTGGCAATGCAGATTCGGGTTTGGGATTTGGTCACAAGAGCAACGGTGATTTTGGCAGTGGAGATTTCTTTTCATCGTCCACATATAATTCCCAAGGACACTCCCGGCACGAGACGACCGCTGGGGGGAGGGGGGGATGGGCCTGAGGTTTCCGATCAATTGCAACGACTGCCTGCCACTACAATCAGTTATCATCATAGCTTTCCTGAATCTTTAGATCCCATTAATATGCTATATAATGCACCAAATTTCCGCGGATATGCCGCCGTCTAGATAATGTTAAGAATGTATCTGCTCCCATAATTTACTGCACATCAAGGCTCTCTCGAAGGCGTTGTCCAACCAAAGTGCTTCCATCGATGCTTTACGGTGACAAGATCAGTCTGGCCTCGCGGCTTCGGAAGCCTCCGTGGTAGCCAGCCACTACATATGAGCCTAAAACATGTCAGCATCTCATCAGCACATAGAAGCGGTGCAGGTTTTCACACACAAGTCTCCACCAGTAGCAGCCACAGATGCCATCTGTCCGGTCTCATCGCCACGCAGCCCCGTATCATATTCCCAGTCCCATATATCCGTCTCGTCACCCCAAAGGTGGTGGCAGGAGATCGCCACTATATCTGTTGCCCGTTCTTGCACCATACCCCTCCAGTTTTGAGGTCGCTGAATTGGGTTTGGGCCTTTTTGTAGGTTTGATGGCCATGAAACCTCAGGGTAACTGCTCTCAAAGTCACTGCTCCCACGCCGTGCAGCGGACAGAAGAGCAAGAACAACCTAATTCTCATCAGCGAAGCTGTGATGACAATAGAACAGACTTTTTACCTCATTGGATGGCGCTTGCTGTTGGGATTTGGTGCTCGCAGCATTCTTCAATACAACCCATCCATCTCTGTGTAGACATTCGAGCACTTGAACCTTTGCCGGGGAGCTAGAGAGGTCCAGAAGCATCAGACCAGACTTAGTATGCACCTGCTTAAGCAGCGACATGTCTATTGATATGTGTTCCTGGGCATGTTGGTGCGGGGCATTGTCGTCAGGCGATTGTAAGAGCCGCAAAACATCGAGCACGTGAGTCTCGGACTTGGCAATGATCTGAAGGCCCTGCCATGTCTGCGCGACCTAGCCCAATGATTAGGAGGGTGCTATTGCTGTTGGTGTCAACGAGCTCACATCGTACCAAGAGAATCTTTTTGCCAGGGGCAGAAGCAGAGCCACTAAAATCATATCCGTTGTCGTCAATGAGCTCATCTTGTGTCCGCGGGACGAGTTTTGAGGGAAACGGGACTGACAGGTACTTTCAAGTCGAAGAGGACTTCGGGTTTGTTTTATAAGTTTTCTGTATTTCATGGTTTTAGCTTCGCCTTATATCTTTCTCTTTTCTTTTTCCTTTCCGCACCTACGAGGCTGGTCTCCGCGTGATTCGAAGTAGGTTGCCTTAACGTTGCCTCATTACACGGCTCCTTCGTGCATTAGTGCATTAACCTGCAGCCTGCATATCTTCCAGGAAAGCGCCTGGAAAATTTTCTATTTTTACGACTAGCCGCAAAGGCACAGGCCTTTGGGCGTATGGGGCGTAAGCTGTACGACATTTAATATTCTTCCCTACCGAACTAAACAATAACTATGCTAGAAATACAACGAAGCAAGCACTGACAGGAGACTTAGAAACAGCAACAGGCTTTAAGGTACCTGAAGTCTCCCCCCCCCCCACACAATCTTTTACACAGAAAAGTTGGTATTTCTATAATAGAGGCGCAACAATTGCATGACTGGTAAACATTTTCCATACATAATTAGTACTCTAATGTGGGTAAACGGGCATTATTTACAACAAGTTAATTGAGATGTGCTAGTATGTTGAATTACAAGACCCCGTAAAATCCACGTATACCCGAGCGTAAGATATGACATCCATATCATACTGAATGGAGACTTTCTAGAGAATAACTGAAAAGGAAAGGGAAAAGAAGGGGTAATGAAAAAAGCCACCGCGGTGTACCCGGCTCTGCGCTACAACAGAGGCTGCAAGTAAGCTGCTCCTCTCTTTTCATCGAGAACTGTACTCTGTAGTGAAGCTGTAATTCCCTCTGAAAACTCTTTTTCAATCCGAAGTTCTTTACAGACGTTTCCATACATATGTGCAACATGTTTCCAGTCAGTCCTGTCCACTGGAACTAATATTTTGTGAAGGAACACTTCGATAATTGCCAAAGAACTTCTCTCTGTCGGGCACATGCTCGGGCCATATATTTTCAGAAAGTAATGACCCATCCCCGATTCATTCTGTATCTTGAGGGCGAGTTCTCGGATATCACTCTTCCACGGTCCGCGATACGACAGCCCATCTTCCATCATTATATTTGTGAAAATCGATGCCATATTGATGGTGGTTGTCAAAAGATCATCGGAGTTAGGCAGACATTTAATTGCTGTGGTGGGAAACGTTTTCGAGTACACAGCAACCAATCTGGATAAATTGTTAGCAGGCTGATTATCTGGACAAGAGAGTTATCATAAGGAATGCTCACAATACACAATCTTCCACCGTGAAGTTGTTGTACAATTGTAACTCTGTCTCTGTCGTGGCACTGGATGAGGATTATTAGTATCAGCATTAAATATAGTGACAATTGCACTAACCAAAATGATATCATAAGTAACCCTAGATCACAGGTCTTAAGCTCGTTTGCAAGGAAATCCGGCGCTCGAGGCCGCACAACATTGTTGCCTTCATATTTATATTGCTCGGCACCTGATCCTGTTAAAATGGAATTTCTATGGACAACACGCCATTCAGCAACAACTGACTGAACTGGGCCAACGGGGCAATCGTAACGAATGAGATAGTATGTGTTAAATGCTGTGTTTGGCAGTGCTTCCTTCCCAGGTTTCGGAGCTTCGGCGGGCGGTTTTGCGGGATCCACATCTGCCATAATTCTTTGAGATGAATTGGAATTTATAGCGAATGGACCTGGAAGAGAAAGAGATCAAAATGTAGAAACGCTGTTGTTTGATTTCATGGCAAGATTTGGAGAGAGAAGTTGTTGAATTATATAGATGCTGCGTTTCGCATGACAGGATCATTGGTAAATTAATGATCAGAAGTACAGTCCAAGAACCAAGCAATCATGCATTCTGTGCGCGGCTTTGTTTCTCCTGTCAGGGCCGAGCGCGCAAGTGGTAGAGGTCTTCCTAAACAGGACTTATATGTAACACGCATATAAGTCCCGATTAGGAAAAGTTCCTTGCACCACATAAACTGGGGGAAGCATCAATAATGGATTCTCGGTGGTTCGCGCCAAGCTCACGGTTTATGATATTCAATGCCAAGGGAACTTTCCTAATTGGGACTTATATGAGTGTTACATATAAGTCCTGTTTAGGAAGATCTTGGCATAATGTACGCTTGCACCAGTAGTAAATTTTCCCCAATCAGCACCCAGCGGGAGAAACAAGGCCACGCATGATGGAAGCCAGGGTCTTTGACTTGCTTGAGTGAAGAAATATGAATGCCGTTCTGCCGTAGGCTATTGATGCTATGATTGCTCAAGAGACATCAGCCTCATTCAGGAGCAAGATCGCGCGCCAATAACGAACAAGGTCGAGAGTTCAAGATCCACAGCATAGATGCAGCTGGACCGCGTCGGAGGCCGCAGCACAAGCCTATTTACCAACATGACTAAAGATGATGTAAGATTTATGATAGAAGAACCGTACTGCAGCAGGAAATCTTGGAAATGAGTCTGTCCCCTTTCTGTCATCGAACGATTCGTCCCGCGAACTGTGTCAATCCGGAATTTCTAATTTCCAGACTATTTCTTCATTGAAAGCAAGGATATTCTATTTTTGAGTAACCAATCATTTTCCTTTGATTTAACAACAACCAGGACGTACAACAGAAATCGGGCTCTGTATCAGATAGAGAAAGGTGGCAAAAAGCAAACTGAGCGTAGCTTGTTCGTTGTCCAGGCTGCTTTCCTTTTCCGACTTGCGATTCAGGACGAGGTCCTGAGCCTCTTCCAGTGTAACATAGGCGGCCTGAACTGGATCATTGGCGCATATCAGTTCGAAGAATTGATCCTGTGCTTTTTCAAGGAGCTTTTTAAGCGCCTTAAAATGTTCCACCTCGCGTATCATGCTCGCCACGGCGGCTACACGAGATGCGGCGATGCCAGACGGGTCGGTGACAGAGCGGGTGATTGCCATTGTTCTTGATTTTGGGAACAGCTCGTGGTGTAGGGATGTCGGTTCGATAGTAGGGAAGGAACTTGCAGTGCAGTATACCAAAATACAGACCAAGATTATGGGCTGCTCCTGTCCTTTTATGCTTCCAGAACGGCGGAACAATCTTAGAACCAGCACCGGCCGCCAAGCAGCATAGTAAATTTTGACAACTCACTTCTCTGCGTCGTCATGTATGTAACAAGGCGCAAGCATAGGGCGCAATAGGAGACAAGAGGGACAGGATCCGCCAGTTGCAACTGGACCCCGTGCCAGCGGTGTATGTAGTTCCCGGGTCAGAAATAAAGCGCTGGTGCCAAAACTGTGCATGCATGTAAAAGGGCGCATGCGCATAACGAGGCAAAAAAGCTCAGGCGGGCTGAAATGATAATACCCCTCCTCATGCAGCTACAGGAGCAACTTCCTCCCGGTGGGTAACAAGCATGGATGGCCGGCCTGCATTTGCACAAGGCAACGGGGGCTAGTGGTGATCATCAAAGCAAATGAGAGACATGGCTCTTGCTCCAGGGGTCATCTTCCATCGAAAGATGCAGCAAGCCACGAGCCCATCCCTTGATCTACCTAGCCGTGTATAGTTTCCCGGGTCAGCAACCGTTTGTTCATGATTTCTGTGCTAACAAATTCCAGGGGCCCAATCTGAGTGCCCCGGGCGGGAAGCAATGTGGTCAAGGTAAGGCTGGCTTGCACTCTGGATCTTATTGTGCCTCTTGCTAGACTCCATAAAGAGAGGCGTTGCACCCACCATTCTGCTAGCCGGCATGGGATCACAGAATCCAAAACAAATGACCAATCTCAACCATCTCCTCAGCCCCTGTTTCAAAAGACTTTTAAGCTGGTTTCTAGTTTTTATCCTTTCTTTTATCTTGTTTGGCGTTGCCTTCTGGACAGTTGTAATAGCCGCGGTGTGGTTATCTGTCCAGTTGGTCAAAGTATTTCTTCGGCGACAAAGAGCAAAGAGTTAAGAAACCAAAATGGCTCAGGAGGTACCGCCAGTCGTGGTTGATGATTCTGAACCGAGACTGGCTGCAAGGCGAATGAGGGAGCCGCCCAAGACTGCCGCCGGCCAGATATACTGTGATCACCCAGATTGCCACGATCATATATCTTCGAGGGACGCAGTGAGTGGAAGTATGTGCCACCCTTTTTGGCTATAGTTCCTATTTCTTGAACTATGTGCTAAGTACCTTAACAGCAGACACATGGATAAACATGACTGCCCATACAAGTGCACAAACCCAGATTGCAACCAACGATTTACCCAGGCAACTAGCATGCGCCGTCATCTATTCACAACTCATCAAGTGAACAGCAAAAAGTGGATGTGTCCTTATTTAGACTGTGATCGCAGCTCAGGAGAAGGATTTACCAGAAAGGGATATCTCTCACTCCATAACCACCGCTCTCATACGAATGAAGATAGCATCGAATCTCTCCGTGCTGAAATTACTCGGCTTCAGCGGGAAGCTATGCAAAGAGATTCAAGACTGGATAAGATGGAAATGGAGCTGAAACAGTTGCAGCAGCTGACTGAAAAAGCTTCTGTTCAGCTCCCTTCCTGTGCGGAGCTCGAAGTGGGAGTTTCAGGAAATGGATTCCACAAAACCAAACTGCACATGTTCAAGGCTATCGGATGATGATTATTGGTTTGGGATATGTTGATGCCCTGTATTTACTCTTCTCTATCTGACACCAGAGCCCTGTTTGATTTTCTGTCATACATGCATGATTTGTTCCAGAAAATTAGAAATTCCGGATGCTGAGTGATGAATATGCAAGAAGGTAGTTATGGGACCAGTGCAAGCAACCAGCATGCAAATGGGATGAATTTGTAGGGGAAAAGAATTGCTACTTCAATGAGTGAAGAATAATAGTTAGCAAGACAGCAAATAGAAAGATTGGATGGTACATACCTTACTCTCTCCTTGTCTTGGGGCGGGGCACAATTAGCGCGCGTCTTTCTGCCACCACTTTTAATTGGTGCATAACTGCCACTTCTGAACTTGTGATTGGTTAAAAAGGCAGCGAGGAAAATGATGCCTATCCGGAAATTATTGCTGCTGAGGGCCAATCGTTGGTAGCTGGAAGCCAAGTGGGTGGTAGTGGCCTGAGTCCCAAATAGATGCTCCCAGTCTCCCGGCTAGTGCGACAATCATCTAGGCGCGAGGACTTACGTTTGGGGTTACTTTCTGTAGCGTCCGCCCCAGTGGCATTTGCCGTAGCGACCGCTCCGCCTACACGTGATCTCATATGTAATATATATATAGCTAGCTCTTCCCACACGAATACAACAGATTAACCATCCCACAGGTTATAGCCCGGATAGCACGTTTTTACAAAGAATTACATTATTTTTATTTTTATTCTTACTTTTGTTTAAGAACACCTGTGTAAGCATTGAATGTGATCACCTCAGATAGAAGAATTCTTTTACCATATTTATATTACACACTTCAAGTGTATCTGCTTAGTCAGCAATTGAAATAAGAACTCTACAGCATAATATAATATGTTTTTTTTTCAATTTCTTCATTCAACTCTTGTTTAACTGATGAGTGATTTATCTACATTATAGAGTAATAAAAGAAGAACTTTACATTTACATTCTTACACTTAGACATTTATTAATAAAGAATCAGAGAAAATAGATACTATACAATATATAGAAGCTATAGAAGAGATTATAAAATTATCTGTAAATAATAAAGTAAATTATAAATTAAATAATAGCATTTCAAGCTTATAAGCAACATGTATAGAAGCATGATATATAAGTATTATATTTAAAATAAGTTCAGATAATATAATATTAATAATATTTAATAATCTTATAACATTCTATAATAGAATAAGTATGTATCAGATTACTATCTCTGCAGTTAGACTGACTGTGTAACTGTATCTGAAATCAGAATCAAACTTTACAGTTGTCATGTTGTCTAAAAGCATTACTTCTGATCATAGTTTGTGTTCATCACATTGATTTCAAATCATGTTATTTCAAATATTAAAGATCTCAGATTCACTTTTCAAATAAAAATCTAGTCTCAGATAAAGAATATATTTGAATTCTTAGTCACATTTTCATTCTGATCTCATTATTGAGAATGGTATCAAATGAGACTATGAAATCACTTCTCACATAATATCATAACATAGTGCTCATTTATTGAAAATTCAATAGAGAGTATTATTAAATATCATTACTTTTCTCATTCTAATCCAAGCGCTTCACCACGAACTCACTCAATTTTTCGAATGAGAACCCGCTGATAGATCCATCGAAAAGCCCTCAATCATACGAGCATTTTGACCCCATCGCTGACCACATACCCCGTGTGGTGGTGGAGTTATCCAGCCAAACATGAACCAGACATTGTTCAAAACTCCTGTGTGGGATTATCCCCTGTTCACCCCTATCACACCACAACCCTGGGCCAAATTGCCATACAAATTGTAAGGTGAAGAGACCTAACCATATATGCCAATCTTCTCAATTTTGGAAGATCCCTAACCTGTAATTGTGGAGATATCTGAGAAGCATCTTCCACAAAAACCCTGTCTATCTTTGATGTTTCAAAACATCAACACCAAGTCTCACCCATGTACCGCCCTTCTCAATCTGGCCCACCTCCGGCAGAAAAATACAAAAAGATACCTTGGCAATAGTATCAAGCACATAATCAACAGACATATCTGAAGTGCATCCTCCGTGAAAAACCCTCTCTGTCTTTGGTGTATCAAGACATCAACATCAACTCTCACCCTTGTACTGCCTCTTCTAATCTGGCTCATTCTCAGCAGAAAAATACAAAGAGATACCTCAGCAACTGTACTCAATACATAATTGACAGACATAACAACTATAAAATCAGTATATCTCAAGATCTGACTGAGTCTTTGATCTCTGCACAGTGAGATATATTAAATCTAGTTTTAATATCTCAATATTCAATAGATTCTGCAAGAGATTGAGAACAGTAATACTAGATTTCTATTGAATTTGAGAATTAACTCTATATTGATATAATCATTGATAAAGTCTTCTATTTTAAGATATAAATAATCAGTTTCTCTACATTCTACTGACAATATTTACATTATTATATAGAAACAGACTTATATTCTCTATAATATCAAGACTCTGAAGAGGGAAAGTCTTAGTAGAGAATATACAGTAGTGTATATCTTAGCAGTTTCTATCTCATTCTTCTGCAGCAGTTAATGTAAAAAAAAGATTCTAGAAATAGTTTTTTACTTCTCTTAAAAAAGTAAGATGTTTTTCTCTCAGTTTTATACAATATTCTTATAAAGAATTAAAAATAGAGTTATTTTCTATCATAATTTCATATTCTTTTAAGTAAGAATTACTTGTTCAGTGACTGAAGAGCTTTCATTAATACTTAATTCTTTTTTACACTCTTTATTAACTGATTTGAGTTGCACACTTATTGTGTGAGAAGAATTGAATGATTTAGAATAAAATTGAATAATTTTAATCAATTTCTCTGCAAAAAATTGATTTATTTTTTATCAGTTTTTCTCTCAAAAACTGTCATATTATATAATTTATTATTAATTGATATCATACTTTTTCTCACTATATCTCAAGAAAGAGATTGTAAAGATTTTATTGATTTATTTTAAAAATCAATTTTAGTTTATTAGATTCTCTTTAAAAATCTAACCTAGTTACTGAACTAGTGTGAAAAAAATCAGGTATTTTATATACAAAAGTCTGTTATTCTACTTTTGAAACAGTCTGATTAATTTTTCAATTGAAAACAGACTTAGAAACCTCTTAATTAAAACAGTCTGATCAACTTTTCAATTCAAAAGAGTTTAATAAATATCTCAATTAAATTAGTCTGATTAACTTTTCATTGAGTAATAATAATAAGTTCAAAAGTACACTCAGTTGATGTGGAAAAGAATGCTTTCTCAAATACTATTTCTGAGATTGAAATTCTGAAGAGAAGAAAGAAAGAAGAAATAGAGAAACAACAAGTTCTTGAAATACAGAAACTTGAAAAAGTAAGTAAAATTCTTGAAAAGCAGTGTCTAAGTGAGATGAATAAAGAAGTTCTGTTAATTCTTTATACTCAGACTAGATAACTACAGAAAGTGATTAAGTTCAAACTTGAAATTTTAAACACAGTTCTAAACACTTTGAAAATTTCTAATACAATCACTGACTCTTCAGTTTGCTCTTCTTTCTTTTCTACTTCTTCTTCTTCTTCTTCTTTAAATTAGAAGAAAACATATGCTCAAGCAGCTGAATCTACTGTCTCTAAATCTGCTATCTCTAAATCTGCTGTCTCAAAACCTGCTCAAAATTCTGAGAAAACTGAGAAGAATACTGCTCATACTTCTATTGATAGAAGAGTGAGAAAAAAAATATAAAAAGAGAAAAATCTTCAAATCTTCAGAAATAGAAGACTTATTCTCAAAGTCTCAAATCAGAACATCTTGCAGAGAAATAAACTAAACTCAAATCTCATTTTCAGAATTAGAAATGAAATCAATCAGCAGTTCTTTTCTCAGTTAATGACTGATATTGAAGTTCAAAAATCAGTTATAGCTTCAATTGAGTCATTCTTCTTTGAAAACTTCATTATTCTGATCACAATGCCTGAATTCAGTGCAGAATTCCTTATTCAGAATGAGAATCTCTGAAAATCAGCAGTAGAATCTCTGTTAAACACAACAATTCTATCTGAGAGAGATGAAAAGTGGGGTAAATTCATTCTTCACAATATTTCAGTTGAAATCTTTGACTGTGAGAAAGAAATGCTACTTCTCAAAAATGAATTGAAAGAATACAATTCTATTCAACTGAGAAAAGAGCCTGTATAGCTTAATTCAATTGTGTGGCGGGCTGCGCCCGATCAATCATATAGACTATTCTGTTACACTTCATAGATTCTTTCACTTCACTTCATAGATTCTTCTGTTTCACTATTGAACATGTATGCTCTGATTCTCAGCCATTCTCAATCACCGATTCTCGGCCGCCACGAACGCGTATAGATTCTTCCGCCCCGAAGCTTCACTGCATACATCACCACATACATGTATAAATATTCATCTCAATCACTGATTTCTATACTTTCTCTTTCTTTTCCTTCTTTAATGTTTTTCTCTTTATTATATAAGACCTATCAATATAATACTGATCTATTCAGTGTAGATCTCTTACACTAGAAAAACATTTATCATCTTCTTATTAGAAAATGATTATTCACACATTATCTTCTCATTAGAAATGATTATTTATTGAGAGATATCTGAATATGTAATAACATATAAGAAATAGAGAAACAGTCAAACAGTTAAGTGAACACTGAGTTCTCAGATAGAAGCTTACTCATCAGTCACTCTGACTCTGTAACAAGATCTTATAAAGAGAATAAGATCTTATAAGAGAATATCAGTGAAAGATCTGAGAGTTCTGACACTCAGACATATAAGAATATAATTACACTTCTTCAGATTTCACAGATATTACATATCTGATGATTGATATAATCATGTCTAATGATAATATGAAACTCTCAAATGTGAGTATAAATGCAATGTCACAGTGGCTTCAAGCAATGTTGAAATTACAATAGTAATAGATAGCAGATATGCATGCAACTTAACAACTTCAATATAAAGAGATTCAATAATTAACTCATGCAATTTCAACATCTATAGAATTAAATATAAAAGCACTGAAAGAATGCTTAGATACTTCTGTATACTTCAATATTTTCAATCTCACTCTCTACTTATCATGAAGAATGGAAATGCTTATAAAACTGAGTGTAGATGAAGATGTCATCAGTTCATTAATCAATCAAGATTGATATATCAATGAATAATTAAAAGATTGTGTAAAACAGAAGTTTCATTCATGAATGAAAGTATGTAAATCAGTGTTGTGAATATCTGATAATATCATGAAATATCTTGATATTCTGTTCTGAGACACTGTCATGCAATAGAAAGTATTAGATTAATTACAGAGTGTCTGACAGAGAAACACTTCTCTTACAACATTTATTTCTGACTTCAATATCAAGATTCTAGAAGCAGATAATCAATCTTGAAAGAATTGAATAAAGA